TGTTATCCGTTAAACCTGCTAGTCATGTTTAAGAATCTAAGAGTGAGAGTACTGGCATGTATACAAAGCAACAAACCTAAATGTTTTAGAGGGTCTCCTGTAAAGGCGTTGTGTCGCTTTGAGCGTGCAGCGTTGACTGCCAGAAAATGTAAAATATCAACTTTTCATCCAGTTTTAAGCCACATTACCTTGAGACTTTTTTAATATTCTGTGAATAATTAAGCTGCTGGTAAACATTCCTGAAAGATAAAATCCAATCAGACAAAAGCTGCCCAACACTAATGGCACAGTACACTGTTAAAGTACAAATAGAACAATTTAAAAATACTTTATTACAAGTAAAAGTACTTCTTCCATCACTACATATGGCCTCGTAATGCAAGCAGCATAAGATATGGTTAAAAAAAGGTATTTCTGATCTCAGAAACATCAAACAAATGTACAGTTTATAAATTACAGAAATGTTTTACCTTTATATGCTACTGTTAGAGTAGTGTCAAGTGGCCATGCTATAAGTATAATAATATTTCAATGCACTATGTTATGCTTTATGCAGTGTGCAAAATACCCGTCAATAATCGGGGGGGTCCCCATCTCCCGTTTATTGCGCAATATACCGGTCGAAGATTTCTCAATATGCAGTAGGCCTTGTTGAGATATAACATAGCCTACAGACATGTATATTGTATGACTCCATGTAATACTGTGTACCATATTGTTTATGTAAGTAGCTGCAACTACTACTGTGTTCATTGGTTAGCGCTGTAGCACATGTTTGTGATGTCACTACCTGGGGTATAAGACCGTTGGAAGTCACGCCCCTTCTCTCTCTGTCCTCAAGTCTCTTGACATGTGTGCATATAATAAATAACGCCGTGATGAATGGCTAAACTTGAACTGCTGAGAATAGTCACCTTTCTGCTGCAGAGACAAAAGGTATAAGTCTAAATCTGCTAACAGGTTATGGGCCCAGATACGATGAATTATTCTACAGTTCGAAGCGCACGTGCAATAACGAGGCGAGAAGATTGCCTGTTAGCACGGTTAGCATAGGAGTAGCTAGTTAGCCACGTGTTAAGCTAGTTTAGCATCGGGAGAACCGAGGGAAGCTAAAGCTAAGCTAACAAGGACCTAAGCTAAGCTACTGAAGCTACAAACGCGAAAGCCATGGCGAATAGAACCACGAGGAAGAGCAAGTGGCCCACATTCGACGGGAAAGCAGAAGAGTATGAGCTCTGGGAAGAGAGGATGCTGTGTTGCATGCACGGAGTGGGATTGAAGGAGACCATCCTTCGAGCACCCGCTGGAGATCTGACCACGGCACTGAGGGCTCAAGACGACAAGCTCAATGCTGACGCCTATTGTGAGTTAGCGCCGCTACTCGACAATACCAGTTTAGGCCTGATATTCAGAGACACGAAGGACAAGGGCCGAGAAAGTCTCAGAGTATTACGGGAGCACTATATTGGAAAAGGCAGGCCCCGGATCGTCACCTTGTATATAACCATGACTGCGCTGAAGAAAGCTGATAATGAGACGGTTACAGAATACATTATCCGAGCTGAGCAGATCATTACGGCACTCAGGAGCGCGGGAGAAGCACCGAGTGAGGGACTAATGATGGCGATGGTTATGCGGGGATTACCCGAAAAATACAAGCCGTTCACACTAATGGTGACACATGGTGACAGTGAAGTAACGTTGGGACAGTTCAAGGCGAAGTTGAGGAACTTCGAGGCCTCAGAAGATTCAGCCCCAGCCTCAGACGAGACGAGCGAGAGGGTGCTGATGGTCCAAGCAGCAACAAAGAGAAAGCCCGCCAAACGATTCATCCCCGATGGCGACGGAGAACGCGTCGGCGCATGTTGGCGATGCGGAGAGAAAGGCCATCGAAAAGATGACTGCAGAAAGAAAGTCTGGTGTAGCTTTTGTAAAAGCAAAGGGCACACAGACAAAGCGTGCACAAAGAGGGACCGCGGTGATGCCGCTCGGTGCGCGAGCATGCCAGGTGGTACCGGAGAAGCTGCGGGAGGAGATGACTACACCCTCAAAGTGCGAGCTGAAGAGACCAGCCTACAGAGACAACAACTACAGACCCACAGAAAAGGATTGATCGTGGACACAGGAGCGTCGTCCCACATCATCAACAATAAGAACAAATTCAAGATTTTTGACAGCACCTTCAAGCCGGAGAGACACAGCATGGAATTGGCAGACGGGAGGCGTACCTTCGGGGTGGCGCAAGGCAGAGGAGAAGCAGAGATGTGTCTGATAGACAGCGAGGGACGACGGTGTAAAGTGACTCTGAAGAATGCACTATACATCCCATCGTACCCCCAAGAACTATTTTCCATGAAGTCTGCTACAGCTAACGGCGCCAAGGTGTTCTTCGACGAAGGTAAAGATGTTCTGATATTACCGGATGGTACCAGGTTTGACGTTTATGTATGTAAGAAAATGTACTATTTGCAAACAGAGTGTGATGTTGAAGATAAGTGTCATGTCAGCCATGATATCCAAACGTGACATGAGATTATGGGTCACTGTAATTATGAGGATGTTTTAAAGCTGCAGGATGTAACTGTAGGTATGCATATTAAGGGTACAAAGCGTAAGCCTGAAAAAGATTGTACAGTATGCATAGAGGGAAAGTTTAAAGCAAACACACCACTTGAGTTGGTGAACACTGATCTAGCTGGTCCAGTTATTAATAACGAGTCCATAAATGGCTTCAAGTATATGCACTCATTTACAGATGTGTGTACAGGGGCAGTGTTTGTTTATTTCCTGAAAGCGAAGAGTGACGCAGATCAAGCCACTGAGAAGTATCTGGCAGATGTAGCTCCCTATGGGACTGTGAAATACATTAGATCAGATAACGGGACTGAGTTCACTAGTAAGGAGTTTCAGACACTATTGAGAAATAACAAGATCAGACATGAGACGTCTTGTCCTTATTCCCCACATCAAAACGGGACAGCTGAAAGAGAAGAGCGCACTCTTTTTTAAATGGCCAGATGTATGCTTATTGACAGTGATCTACCTAAAAAACCTTTGGCACTATGCCATTCAGAAAGCAGCCAATACCAGAAACCGGTGTTTTAATAAGCACACGGGCACTACGCCATATAGCACTGACCAGAGATGGAGTACTCGAGTCCTGGACTCGGACTCGAGTCGGACTCGAGTGCCGATTTTCGGGACTCGTGACTCGACTCGGACTCGCGCACTGATTGACGCGACTCGGACTTGGACTCGTGAATTCTCGCGCACGATGACTTGGACTCGGACTCGGACTCGTGAATTATCGCGTACGCTGACTTGGACTCGGACTCGGACTCGTGAATTTTTCCCCCCATGATGACTCGGACTCGACTTGTACATTGATGCTCCGACTTGGACTCGGACTCGGACTCGAGCAAGTTTTCTATGGAGTCTGATGTCCTCTATCCTGGCGTGTGCACCGGCTGCGAGGCGAGTTCACGTACTGGGCCCCGCTATTCCAGTCTAAAGATGTCTAGAGACACACCCCGCATCGTGCTGTATGCTTTCACACATTCTGCTTCCACATTGGAAAAGAGCAGCGCAAAATGCTCTATGTGGAAACAATATTGAAGAGAAGGCTCCGTAACACATTACTCTAAACATCGAGTTCAGACATATAGGCTGTCTTGAACACTATCATCAGATAACGTGATCTAATCAATAAATAAAGATTCAGCGATAACACGAAAGCACATGGCTACTTAACATGCAGAATGACGTCATTTTGCATGCTAAGTAGCCATGTGCTTTCTGGGGCTAAATCTTTATCAGTAAACCGATTTAACCGGTAAAAGTTCCTTCAAAATAAGAGTCCCGATCTTATTACTATCAAAATAAAAGTGCAAAACGAAAACTTTACCATAGGAAAATATTGGCATACAAATATAATCACTTCTCTAAAAGGTAACTCATTTTAAACATAGTTTATTTATATATAATAATAATAATATTAATATTAGTAATAAGCTTTATATTTGTATAGCACCTATTACAAGAATTGTAGCCAAACTGGCTTCACAGCAGTTCAATAGACACATTAGTATAACATGACAGGATGAAAGCAATGTAGAGGAGCAGCTACATTTCAACACATATATCCACGAAGATTAATACATGAAGACTTGTGACTCGGACTTGACTTGGACTCTTCTTAGGTGACTCGGACTTGGACTCGGACTCGAACACAGCTAATGATGACTCGGACTCGGACTCGACTCGGACACTCCTTGGGTGACTCGGACTTGGACTCGGACTCGAACACAGGTAATGATGACTCGGACTCGACTCGGACACTCCTTGGGTGACTCGGACTTGGACTCGGACTCGACTACGACTCTCCCTTGGTGACTCGGACTTGGACTCGGACTCGAAGAGTGGTGACTCGAGAGTGACTTGGACTCGTGAATTGGTGACTTGACTACAACACTGGCACTGACAGGGAAAAAGTGTAACTTAGCTAGGATGCATAAGTTTGGAGCAGTGTGTTATGCGTACCAGCAGGACAGGGGGAAATTAGATACTAGGTGTGAGAAAGGACGTTTTGTAGGGCATGACAAGGGAAGACCCGCCTATCTAGTTTACTACCCCGACAAAGAGAAGGTGCAGAAGCACAGACTAGTAACGTTTATCACCAGCACAACTTGTGATAGCGAGACTCAGACACAGAGGCTAGAACAGGATTCGGAGGAAGACTGTGAAGAGGGAGTAAAGGCCCCACAGCCTAGTGTACTGAGCAAAGATGTACAGACTAACGCTCCACAGTCAGCACCAGAGGATGATGGCGAACAGCACCCTAGGGTGGCGTCACATGCCTCAGACAGTGGGAGATATCCCAGTAGGGAGCACAAACCCCCAGAGTACTTGAGAGATTATACTCAGGAAGATAGTGATGAAGATGATAAACACTCACTAGTATAGATCATTGTTACAGAGCAGTTTGCGGTGTACCTCTGACC